CAATCTTGGAAAGTGTGGGGAATAACTGAATTAGGAATGGTGAAAAGAGTGCAGCATTGGACAGAAAAATGTTGAGAACCACTGTAAAAAGATTTATGAAGTTAGGCATTTCCTGGAATATTTACCTGCAGATAAATCTGGAAGTACAGACCAAGGGCAATGAAGATAAAGTATAAAATACTAACACGACAACTGGGAATGGAGTGCACATCTTCATTTTGAAGAGAATTCTTCAAAGGAATATTATGCTGTTAAAAATATTCAATTCAAGAACCTGACATTTTTTTTAATTATTCCCATTGTTCTATAGTTTATATATAAAACAAGTTAAAATATCATTTTTATAGTTTTATTTTAACTAAAGCGAAAATAAGTATAAAATATACCCTTTAAAAATACACCAAATCTTAACTCCTGTGTAGTGAGTTCGACCCTCACTGGGTGAACTAATGGCTTAGTATCAAACTGAGTTTAGCTTAGTAAATATTTTAGGAATGTGGAATGAGTTCGATCTCCATTGGGTTCACCATATTGGTGTCTTTGGACTAAAACTAAGCAAAGTTTAGTAAGTAACAACCGGGTTCGAACCTCACTGGGTGCCTCAGTCTTATGGCAAAACGAAGCTAACTAACTGTAAATTAAAAGTCAGCATGATTTTAGACGGTTAGTGGATTTTATATGTCAAATTTCATTGGATTGTCGAATTTTAAATTTTATCTGAAACACAATGTAAGGATCGAACTCGCTACTCAGTAGTAATGGCTGATCAAACTATCCTCGATAATCAATACTTTATGCCGAAGTAAATTGCCGTAAAGTAAATTTACTATGTAATTTCATTGAGAAATGATTTTTACTATGAAAATGCATTGGCAAATGATTTCTAATATGAAAATGCATTGGAAAAATGATTTTTACTCTGAAAATGCATTGGCAAATGTTTTTTTACTATGAAAATACAGTGATAAATGATTTTTACTATGAAAATGCATTGGAAAGTGATTTTTACTATGGAAATGCATTTGAAAATGATTTTTACTATGGAAATGCATTTGAAAATGATTTTTACTATGGAAATGCATTTGAAAATGATTTTTACTATGGAAATGCATTTGAAAATGATTTTTACTATGGAAATGCATTTGAAAATGATTTTTACTATGGAAATGCATTTGAAAATGATTTTTACTATGGAAATGCATTTGAAAATGATTTTTACTATGGAAATGCATTTGAAAAATGATTTTTACTATGGAAATGCATTTGAAAAATGATTTTTACTATGGAAATGCATTTGAAAATGATTTTTACTATGGAAATGCATTTGAAAATGATTTTTACTATGGAAATGCATTTGAAAATGATTTTTACTATGGAAATGCATTTGAAAATGATTTCTACTATGGAAATGCATTGGCAAATCATTTTTACTACGAAAATGCATTTGAAAATGATTGTTACTATGAAAATGCATTGGCAAATGATTTTTACTATGAAAATGCATTGACAAATGATTTTTACTATGAAAATGCATTGACAAATGATTTTTACTATGAAAATGCATTGACAAATGATTTTTACTATGAAAATGCATTGACAAATGATTTTTACTATGAAAATGCATTGACAGGTCTACTCTGGATGGGCTATTTAATATCGGATTTTGCATGCGACACCCAGTGAGGATCGAAACCACTACCCAGTCTAGCTGTGACGCCTTGTTCATCAGAACATTATCAACATTTTTTTTTGAAGAGACGAATGAGTGTAAAATTTACAGGAAGGACGGATTAGTCGATGCACTAAAACACACGAATCGTGCTCCGGGCGGCAACTAGATCAAACTGGGTTCGTCTATCCTAAACTTGCACTATATTTATGCTGTACTCACGTGAGCGTTAGAAATGAGATGTTCGTCGCTTTGAACATGAGTGGAAATGAGCGAATCAATTCTCCCCTATAAAAAAAAACAAAAAAAAAAACAAACAACAAGCCCGCAAAGGCGATACCAGACAAAAAACAAAACAAAAAAAAAATATGAGTGTAAATCTCCGGCAAAAATATACATACGCATCGGAAGGTTCATTAAGAAGAGTTACTGTGTTTTATTTCTGGCACTGTTTCATAAAATATACATACAAAACAGTGGAGTTACTGGAAAAAAAATTTTAATGACAATTATTTGCAAATTTCTCAGGCTAATTATGTGACAATTATAATATGTTTGTAAAAGTGTTTTTTAAATTGGAGGGAAAATATGAGCAATTTCCGAAACATCCCTGAATATAACGTTGTTCCTCAAGCATTTTTACAAGGTACTCACTTTGACTTACTATACAGATATTCATTCATAAGAAACAATATTCTTCTGAAAGTAAAAACTTTGATTTCAGCCATTTAAAACTAGAGTTTTATTTTTATTATATCGGTGGAAGTACACGATCGCTTTTGAAAGCTGATATTTATTTTTGCCTATTTTCGGGGAAAATACACAGTAAGATAACGAAAAAATAACTACCGCAAAAATTATTAAAAAATTACTGAGTACATTTTTTTTTCCGGATTTTATTCTCTTCCAGGGTACCCTCACAATAACCGTAATAAGTTGAGACACAAAAAAAAGCTCGCCAAAATCCAGCCTCTTTTAATTGTTTTTTTTTCTTTTTTTACAAATTCAAAGTTGTATTTGCTTAACTTAATTGAGTGGAAGGATTCGTAAAAAAGAAATTTGTTTTCCTTTTAAGCGTTTCTTCCTCGCTAGAAATGCGATAAGTATTTTGGGGTGATAAAAACAAAGAAAACAAAATAAAAACGGCTGGGACGACTATAATTTAAATTGATAGCAACAAGACTATTAATTAACTCTCTACAAATAAAATAACTTAGTTTGCAGACTGCATCGATAAAAGAAAGGAGAGAGAAAGAGAGAGGAAAGAAAAAGAGCCCTGTCGAGCTGAATCGCCCTAGCGGCCGGATTTTAATGCAACTACTATTACTATTACTACTACTACTACTACAATAGTAGTAATAGTTCTCAACTGTTTTATCTATTTATTTACTTATTTATTTTTTTACTCTATTTTATTGTTACTTCTTTGTATGTCAGCTCCTAAAGTTGTGTTTATAAACAAATATAGATAAAATATTTGCAGGAACTTACCTCGTTAGTGGTTAGTTTAAATACTCCGTAGAAAAAATCCAGAAAAAGTAAATTCAAACCCCAATTGCCTCTTGCTAAGAAGGGCATTCACTGCTACTTCGTTTCTTCTTTTTCTACATTCCTTCCTTCCATATTTTTTTATGGCTATATAAACTTTTCCTGGTTGATACGTCCATAATTCCTTTGTATGGACCCCGGTTTTACCGAAGTTTATAGCTATACTTTTTTTCCCCCACTGGGTTTTAATGTTATTGTTAATGAACTCCACACAGTATCGGAAAGTGGTTTTCGTTTTAAAACAGAGAATTACAGTGGGACGATGTTTGAAAAGAAGACGGGTATAGAAGTGTTGAACAAAACACAACACAGCACGGCAACAAGCAGTGGTTGTGGGAAGCTCCTATTTATTAATAATACTATAACTGGAGTCGTGTTATCGACTCTCAAGTGGTTGAGAATGTATGAGAGACTGTTTTAGTCTTGCTTTAATATTGCTTTCTTTGTGTGCATATATACTTGTGTTTATTCTACTAAATGTATTTTATAATCTGAAGTCGCAGGCGTCGTAATCGGACGATAGATACCCCGACGTTGTTCCGGCTCGGTGCTTGAATAAGAGGTGCGTCAACAGCGACAACTCTAATCCATAAGTCTTACGGGTCGCTTCAGGTCTCAGGCCATCTGCGTGGGAGGGAAATTCACATTTAGTTTTAACTTATATAACATGTTCGTCTTGAAGTCATTTATTTCTTTATTGATGTTTTAATTCGCTCTCAGTGTTTTTTTTAAATTTTTTATTCGTTATTCTCAAAACTTATTAGTTTAGCCAGTTCGTTCGCTGTTAAACACGTTCTCATCGGCCACGCCCTTTAATAGATAAATTCGTCACGTGTAAAACTGGCGGCACACAGTCTTTCTATTGACGTTTACCAACATTTTGCCCTTTTAATAGAATCAGGATTAAGGTAAGCTTAAAAGATATTGGCTGTAGAACAGTAATTGAAAACTAAACTAGAAAGTATTTATTATCCAAATGAATTCGATCTTCACTGCATGGGACACGAACAGGCTCAGCTAAGTTTAATTTTTTTACTACCTCTGTCCCATAATAGTTGTTACGTTTTGGTGTATAAAATGCGTATGCTAAAGTAGCAATCATTCTGGGACAAAAATAAAAAAAAAAGTACGGATCTTGTATGTTAATTCACCCCAAAATAAAAAAAATAAAAAAAAATTTATATTTACTAAAATTCACACCAAATTTTCCCAGAGTGAGGACCTTCCATTGCACTCCGGTTGGGTTGACTTGTGCGATCGACCCAAATGTGGGTGACTCGAATGCGTTATTTCTAAGAGTGGGGTCTACATTCGCCCCCAACCCGATAAACGAGCCAAAAACAGATTTATTTATTTATTTTTTTTACATTGTACAAAGTTAATCGAATATCATCCACATTTACGAGATGGGAATAACTCCCTAATTGTTAGTAACTTTACATTATTTGGGGTGAATTAACAGAAACGACCCAAAAAATACTTCTCCACAATCCACATGAGACCTACGTGATGTTTGAGGTGATTTCTCCTTATTTTGATTGGTTGTTTTTGTTTAGCGGCATATCAACACCTCTATGGGTTATTGAATATCGAAATCGAAATATTTTGTAAGCAATTTTATTTAGTTATTTTGGAGATAATGAGGGCTTAGTGATACAAGTTTTACTAATTAACCCATAGCTGAGGAGAAGAGGTAGATTCATACCATTTCCCAAGTGAATATAACGAAACCAACTGTAATTGGAACTCAGCTCTCTAATTAACAATTCCGAGCCAGTATCCATTACAGCACCCCAAATTCCCAAGCGGTCACCCATCTAGGTACTGACCACGCTCGACGTTGCTTAACATCTACAATCGTACGGGAAGCGGTATTTCTACGTGATGCGGCTGTAAGCTCCTTGGTTTGGAGTGAATCCGCAGCGCCTGAAGTATTCACGATAAGCGATGAGGTGTCAAGGGGTGAACTATTTCTGAATTATAGTCTCACGAACACTTGGGACGCCTACGTTTAGAAGGCCTTGTGCTACATTTTGGACGATGCGAACGTCCGAATAAATAAATAAATACTTGATGGCTGAGGTAGTTTCATTTAATCTCCTTCCTAATGAAGTGATTAGTGTTCGAGTCTGGGTGGGTGAAGCTAGCATTTATAATGTTTTTAAGAAAGGCAAGAATACACGCCTATTCATCTTGGAAAATTGACCCAACTGTTCCTATTTTCTCACATTCAAACTTCTATCTGATTAAGCTTTTTTGTTTTGTTTTATTTTTAGAATGGTGTTCACCCTGTACAACGATCGGGAGCCTCTCGAGGTAGCGGGTTACAGACTAAGTGGCACAGATTATGGGGATATGTGGTTAGGATAACAGTTAACCCTAGACTTGGACAGATTAAGATTTTAGCAATCGGGGAAGCATACTCTTGGAAGTTGGTTCAACAACGATTCGTGCGAAGAAGATGGCCAGTTGGTAATTACATCTTACAAAGGGAATAAGGGAGGTTCGCTACAATGGGCGTGGCATGGCGAAAGAGCAGTATGAGAAAGGGGCTGTAGAGTGGAAAATAATTTGCTATCCCTAGAATAATATTATTTTTATCCGCTGTTTCGGTCTCCATGGTTTCAGTTATCCACGGTCAACTCCGAAAATAAATTTGTTTTGTTTTGTTTTACGGCATATCAACCTCAATGTGTTATTAAATGCCGACAAAATTTTTATTTCTGGTAATATTTTGTTTTGTCAAAAATCTATTTCTGGTAATCATTTTTTTCTTCAAAAATGTATTGCTGGTAATATTTTTTTTCAAAAAAAAGTATTGCTGGTAATATTTTTTCCCTCAAAAATGTACAGCTAGTAATATTTTTTTCAAAAAATGTATTGCTGGTAATATTTTTTTTCAAATACATATTGTTGGTAATATTTTTTTTCAATTACATATTGTTGGTAATAGTTTATTTTCTTCAAAAATTTATTGCTGATATTTTTTTTTTTACAAAGTATTTCTGGTATTAAAACCTATTTTTACACTTTCATAGTGTTTTGACCTCAATTTGGGGTTAACTATTTGCCCATATTTTGGACTCTAACAGGTGCTACCACTACGGGTCAGGGTGAACCTGGGAACACCAGCAATTAAGAGGTGGTTCCATGCTCCACAAAACCTTCTGATCAGAGGCCTTGCTGTTGGACGTAGTTTATCGTCTTACCCTGGACGTGGATGTAGTTTATCGTCATACCCAGGACGACCAAAAATAAATATAAAATTTACATTTTACGTAAGAATGGTCCTAAAACACAAGACTAATGATATTAGCAATTCGGATTTGCCAAGGAGAAAATCTGAAAGTTCTAGATTTATTGAAGAAACAAAAAGATCATATGTAAAAGGTTCTAATATCTACGATAGGAAGGAAACCACTGTCCAACTCTAATTTCTATAACAGCATTTTTTTGTGCTATTTATTGTGTGTCCAACTTTTATTGCATCTAATTTATAAATTCAAACTATTGGATTGCATGTTTACGAAACACTATAGCATATAAAGAGTTCGGAACTATCCGCAGTTTAAGTCAGCAATTGTAGGGTCTTGCAATATACATCAGCGGATGAGGAACGATCTGTGCGTTTCTTTTTTTTCTTCTATGTGCCGTGTCCCTTCAGAATGTTGGCGGTCATGGCTCTCCACAATTTCCCGTCCTTTGTAGCTCTTAATAAATTTTTCTCTTTCTGTTCTCTCTCCTAAACCCTATTCTGCCATTCATTTACACTAGCTTATTGAGCAGATTATGTACCGTTTTCCTCTATCTCATTTATCTTCAATCTGTCTTGTGAGTGTCAATTTTTCCAAACCCTCTTTCCTCATCATGTACCCGAGAAATATCAACTGTCGCTTCCTGAGGTTGAGCATAAGTGTCCTTTTTGTTTCTGTTTTACCTAAAACCTTGTCGTGGCTCGCGTGTTCGATCAATGGTATTCTCAGCATCCTTCTATAGAACCAAATTTATTTTGCTTCAAGTCTCTTTATCATCTGTGAAGAGATTATCCAACATTCACTGCCAAATAGGAAAACTGATATTATATGTTCAGTACTCTTTTCTTTGTTTCTAAACACTCATCCTTAGTCTTAACCACTTCAAGTCAAGGGTTAATCCTTATATATCCTCTTTACCCTCATAATCTTCATTACCAGCAACCTCTTCTTTTATTCTTATCACACACCTTATTCATGATAACCCTTTTAACAGTCAACTCCTTCCTTGATTCTCGAGTCTTGTATTCAATGATCTTTAGCACATACATTTTTTCTGAGAAATATTCTGGTATCTGGTATTATTATTATTTTTATTTTCTTTGATTTCTGGCGTTTACACATTTCTTTCCGGGTCCCGCCCAGGGACCTAAGGTTAGAAATGGCGTCATGACACTTTCCACTGAGAAAAAAAAAATTACATAGATAAAGCCCTTCGTAAGGTGTGGGCTGTACTTGTCAGAGCAATTTTTTTGTATCTCCTTGAGGCATGGACTTCCAGGAATCCCTTCAATTAGTCTACTTTTCCAACCAGTCCTAGGGCTCCAACTACAACAGGGATTGTTGATGTTCCCATATGCCACATTTTCGAGATTTCTATTTTAAGGTCCTTGTACTTTGACAACTTTTTGAATATCTTCAAAGATACATTGCAGTCAGCAGGGACTGCCATATCAATAAGGAGGCACCGTTTTTTATTATTATTATTATTATTATTATTATTATCTTATTATAATTCTGCTTGTTACTCTCTTAGTTAACACGGCCATTAGGCCCTGCCAATATGTCCTAATAACAGACTATTCCGCGTTGATCCTGTGGAAAGACGGAAAAGACATATCAGAGACGCTACTTGATTTCATCGAGAAAAAAGAAAGAAAGAATAAATAAAGGAATATAAAGTGTTTAACATCTGTTTCAGAAAAATGGAAAAAGTTCTCAATTTCAAATTTTTACGGGAAATTGTGGAGAGCCATGATCGCCAACATCCTGAAGGGACACGGCGCATAGAAAAAACAAGAAAAAAGAAAGAAACACACAGATCGTTCGTCATCCGCGGATGTATATTGCAAGACCCTCCAACTGCTGACTTAAACCGCGGATAGTTCCGAACTCTTTATATGCTATAGTTTTTCGTAAACATGCATTCCAATAGTTTGTATTTATAAATTAGGCGCAATCAAAGTTGAACACACAATAAATAGCCCAACAAAATTTTCACTTATACTCCCTTACTTCTTAAAATAACGATCATCATTCATATTTATGATTAATATCCTAATATTTTGTTAATGTAGTCAAGCTTCAATTTGTAAAAATACTACAGACAGGGTAATTTCTACGGATATTTTATGCTAGAGCCGTAGAACTTGTCATAGGTTTATTCAATCATTAACTTAGGACTTCAGGTTCATCGGGCATTAAAATAGGAAAACTGTGAAATTTTCACGGGTATTTCTGGTTTACAATTATTGTCTTTTTTTCACACCCCATTTTCAAGAAATACTAGTAGTATCTCTTATACTTTTTTTCGCTATCAATGACCTCTCTGTCCGTCTTTCTGTCTGTCTGCTTGTATGTGTTCCTGTCTGCCCGTCTCTGTCCTTTTATGAATGGATGAGAAAAAAAACCCCCCAAAAAAACAAAAACAGACTACCAGGCAGTCTGCTTCTCAGGAGCATGCAGTGTTGTTTTTGTTGTTGTTTTTTGTCTTCTATCTCTCCACACTAAGAGATTCGCACATACTCCAACTCTCCCTCATTCTCTCTCTCTTTTTCTCTCTCTCTTTTCAGCACATTCTTTCACTAGCTTTCTTGACAACTACTATTTTTCCCATTAATAATTTGTTCAGCTATTTTTTTATTTGTGGGTAGGTAAAGAAAAATCTGCTCAGTGGTCTGCTTTATACTGCACTTGTCAAACAAGTCCTTTCAAAATATATAATAACTATTTCGAAAAGTAATATTAATTCTGTCCCATATAATGGTTCTTATATTTAGAATATGAAACGTTTGTACAAATGTGGCAACTATTATAGGACAGACGGAGGATAAACAATACCTTTGTCAAATAATTGTTGTTACATGCAGAGTATGCATTGTTTAAACAAATGTAGCAACCAATATGGGACAGAGCAAAGAAAAACACTGCATTTGTCCCATAATTGTTGTTACATTTAGAGTATGCATTGTGTATACAAATGTAGCAACCAATATGGGACAGAGCTAGGAAAAATACTGCATTTGTCCCATAATTGTTGTTACATTTAGAGTATGCATTATGTATACAAATGTAGCAACCAATATGGGACAGTGCTAGGAAAAATACTGCTTGTTGTTACATTTAGAGTATGCATTGTGTATACAAATGTAGCCACTATTACGGGACTGATTTTGGAAAACACTGCCTACGTCCCATAATTATTATTACATTTACCCTATGAAACTTGTGAACGAATGTAGCGACTATTATGGGACAGAGGTAGGAAAAGCACTGCCTTTGTCCCATAATTATTGTTACATTTAGCCTATAAAATGCGTACACAACTGTAGCAACTTTTATGGGACAGAGGTAGGAAAACACTACCTTTGTCCCATAATTGTTGCTAAATATAGTGTATGAGATGTGTATACAAATATAGCAACTATTATGTGACGGAGTAGGAAAAACACTTCCCACGTCCCATAATTTTAGTTATGTTTTGCGTATGAAATCTGTATAAAAGTTAGCAACTATTATGGGATAGTGGTAGAAAAAAACACTGCCTATGTCCCAGGATTATTGTTACATTTACCCTATGAAATGTGTCCACAAATGTAGCAACTATTATGGGGCAGACATACATAGGGAAAATATTCG